AAAAAAGTTCATTATTCAAGAGTCAATTACTACAGTAAATATCGGAAGGAAGTTATGTTAATCGGTTACGTTTTATTTAAAGTAATAAAAGACTGTATTAAATAGATAGTTATTATTAAAATAGTGGCATAGAATGGTAAATATTAAGGAAAAATCAGGGTTAAGTACTAATTGTACTTCAGTTTTAATAGTTTAGATTGGCGTGTTTGGCACTAGATTTGTTATAAATTGTTTGGATTGATTTTTTTGGAAACTGATATAATCTGGTTTATGATTTATTAAGAATCTAGTTCGAAAAAAATATTAATCAATCAAATTATAACAATTAATCCATCAATTCTATTATGAATGACATATATACAAAAATAACTTAAGTGGCTTGTATTTTAATATATATAGTAGAATTTTCAGATTATTGTAGATTATACCAAAATAATAACTAACCAAATTCTTCCAAAATAGTCAGTTAATAAAACTTGCAATCTTGTATGTAGTAATACATATGATAGGTGTCAACCAAAAATATTATTATTCTCGTTTTCAATTTCAGTAATAATATTTATGTTTTAGCATGTTGACCAGAATCTAAAGTTTTCCACACTATTAACTAATTTGAATTAATATATTTACCAAAATGTCAAAACTAAATTAATTATTAAGATTTTACCATATATTTTTCTGACCAAACCTTTTACAATAATATATAGTATACCATTGGTGTAGACTAAGCAGTAAGCACCCGGATTTCGAATTTCAGTATAAGGTAATTTCTGCCTCTCTTTCTCTCCGAGGAGCTTACATTTTCTCGCTGCGGTATCCGTAGGTTTGTTTCATATCTCTATGCGTGGAGAAAAAGATCATATGTAATGAAATATCTCTTTTGCATTAGGTGACTAAAAAGCTTTTTTATATTGAAATTATGCCTCTAGAATTTTTATTTTTGTTTGATTCAAATATTCGAAATACAAAATCCTTTCATGGAAAATAATGATAAATCGTTGAAGAAAGATTATCTGATCTCCCGAATTCGCAAATAGCCTTTGAATTAGACGTGTGTGTATGTATCTATACAACTAATACTAACTTATCTTTAATCTATAAGTATGTGTTAACGTAGATTACATCTCGATACATAACTTGTTTTAACATGGTTGTTTTCATTTTACTGATACAAAACTTGGTAGAAAAAAAAAAGGCGAAGATGAACAATTCAGAAACAGAAGTTGATTCTTCTTCATCACACCTTCCTTATCCTGTGGCTCTTGTCACGGCTTCGAGTGTACGCAATGATACTCAGGTATTTGTACTTTTTTGCATATTGTTTTTTAGTCTCCCACTTATATTGTAAAACAGGTTATGGAAACAGTTATTATATATTGGGGTTTAGATCCCTTTATGGCTTAGTCTGGGAAAACAGTTCCCAAGAAATTCAATAGTTAACTTAAACGTGGTTTTGGTTCGATTTGATAAACTTTTCTTTTCGTAAATTTGTTTAAAATTTTAGTTTATTTTATTTTGATCTGGTATTAAAGAAGAAGTGTCGGGGACGTCCTCAAGTTTCGCCAAGCCAAAAAAGGTTTATGAAGCTAAAACTTGCACATGACAGCCTCACAAAAGGAAGACAGGTGGGTTCTAATTAACAATCAATTCGTATTCCAGATGGTTAGTTTTAACAATCACCCTAATTGGGTCATGCTATTTGATATTAGTCTTTAATATTATGTACACCTTTAATACTTATGCATTCCTCTTCAACAATTTTCCAGTATCTTTCAGTGCCATTTATGAGAGCAAATGGCATGACCAAACTAGAGCTGCTAACTCTGGTAGGGAAAGATGGTGTAGAGTGGAAAGTGAATCTTAAAGGGCAGAAATCCGGAAGGGCATTGTGTTTGGGAAAGGGGTGGAAAGAGTTTGCTAAAGCAAATGGGTTAAAGACGGGTGAACACTTCACCTTGGAGTCAATATGGAAAAATGAAATTCCTATGCTCAGGTTGGTCAACACAGAGTCTACCAGTGACAGAAAGCAGAAAGCAGTGACATTGGCCCTTGAAACTAAAGATATCAAAGCATGTACATTGGTAAGCTTATTAAAACAAATATTGTTAAAAAGGTGGATCAGAAATTTTATCTTGAATTATATTTTGCAGCATCTTCCAAGTGAATTCTTGACAGATATTGGAATCAAGAAGCTTGGAAAGATAACCTTGCTTGGTAAGGATGGACTGAAGTGGTTGGGACATATTTTGTCAAGAAATGGAACCGTAGATGTTGGAATTGGTTGGAATTATTTCTGTCAGGCTAATGGTGTAAATTTTGGTGAGTCATTCAGCCTAGTTTTCATTAACGAAGAAGAGGACACAGGTCCGATATTCAAGTTCTGTCCCAACTCCGGGAACTAAGAAAAAATGTTTTTAATTAAAAGTATTTGAATTGGACATTTTCGTTTGTTATGTTTCTTTTTTTCGTTTGTTATGTTGTTCAGTTCTGAGAAATGGCCATATGATTGTGTATCTCATATATTTTCATGAAATTGCGACTCATATTTTTTTTTCGCTAAATAGTAAATCTCATTGCTTATAATGAAGGTTTGGTTACAAAATGAATTTAAAACCACAATCTGCTGAGACAGCATTTGATTCGTAGAGGCTGCGAACAAATTTTAAAAACCCCGAAGTACCTAAGAGGCTTCTATCATTAGAGAGCTTGAAGTTAAAATGACAATACAATACAAGAGACAACATTTTAGCACTCCCTAACCAAAGCACTTCTTCCTGGAGAAGCTAGAGAACTGCGACACATGTTATTGAACAATTTGTCTCTTTGGGCTTGGTGTGTGGTTTACATGGTGGGTCTTAATAGAAGATCAATTCATCCCCTTACATTAGTCGAAAAATATTTTAAACTCGGGTTAGGCAGTGCAGTACACTTTCATGCTAGTCTACTATATAGCACTAAATGCATTTCTCCCGGGATTGGCCGGATCAGCCAATAGAATTTATATAAAAAAGAAAGTGTCCCTTGTCCAAGTTTGTTTGCTATTGAACGTTTAGTTTTCAACGTGGTCCATATTATCTAATTTAAGACGACGTCTCATTTCACGTAAATTCAATTGTCTTTCATTAATCGTTTTTTGGCAAAGACCTAACATTTCTTATATTCCATATGTGAATTTTTTTTTAAAAGTCTTTGTCTGTTTGATATCCTAAATCAAGAAGATAAATCCTAAATGCTGATTCCAAATCCTTAACCCTAAATTATATAGCCTTAACTTAGAATATTAAAACTTACACAATGATGGGACAACATATGAGTATAATATAAATAAAGGAAAGTTAAATGCTAAATCCAAACCTTAAACTGAGTAACCAGACTCGGAAACAAGAGATTGTAGTCCTTTGAAGAACACACATAATCCAAGACGATTGCTATGGTTTTTTATACTTTAAAACAAGAAGTTAATCCATTACCTTAAACAATGGCCATTACCGACTTTCACCACTTTGATAAAAGAATGTTAGTCTACGCATTAGCATACAAACAAAGCGAACAAGTTGGCAAGAAGCAGTAAACTTGTTCAAAACGTATATAAACCTACAAAGACTTTGAAAACGACCCAAACATAATAAAGACTCTAAAATAGGACTTATATCATGGTAAAACCCATGATATATCAAGCCCTCCCAATCTCCACTATATTTAAGATCGCTTGTGGGTGTCCATTTTTATTGTTATAAACCTTCTCATTTTAGTCTTCCAAAGATACCACATTACCCATCGAAAATAGCTTCAGTCATGCTCCTTCGGGAGTCTTCAGGACAAATAATTCATATTCGTAAAGATCAAAGACCTTGGGAAACACCAGGGTTTGAAGGTATTTTTTATAGAATCCAATTTTGGATCGCGGTTGGGTATTCAAAAATAATGTGGTTTATCAATTACCTCAGGCTCCATAAATATTGCATTTTGATCACATTTTATGTCACTAGACCATAGTATTGCACATTTTAAAATGATAAATAATATGAAAATTCTTATTAGTTTTAAGCAACTTTGGTTTCTATTAAATGTATATGTCAACTCTTTGATTATAATCTTCATTTTAAATGAAACTGTTTATAGTATTTTTTGTAATGTAAAGTAATATAAGAAGTTTGAATTATACAAATTTAGTGTATTTGTTTATAATATCTTAATATTTTTTTACATGATGCATTGTACATATTTATCTGATTAGATTTTTTATAATCATAAATCTTCCAAACACATCCAGTTTTATTTTCATCTTTATTATAGTGATATAAGATGACTATTGAATTTGGTATGTTCAAAAGATGTAAAATGTTCGAATGCTTTTTTTTTAAATCAGATGTTTTACTTCAATTATTTATTGGTGTGTTTGGCACTAGATTTGTTATAAATTGTTTGGATTGGATTTTTTGGAAACTGATATAAGCTGGTTCATGATTTATTTAGAATCTTTAATCGATCAAACTACAACAATTAATCCGTCAGTTCTGTTTTGGATTGGATTTTTTGGAAACTGATATAAGCTGGTTCATGATTTATTTAGAATCTTTAATCAATCAAACTACAACAATTAATCCATCAGTTCTATTATAAAAAACATATGTACGAAAGTAACTTAAGTGATTTTTATTTTAATATATAGTAAATTTTCAGATTATTGTAGAGTATACCAAAATAATAACTAACTAAATCCTTCAAAAAGAGTCAGTTGACAAAACTTGCAATCTTGTAAGTAGCAATACAGATGATAGGAGTCAACCAAAAAGATTAGCATTCTCGTTTTTAATTTCAGTAACAATATTTATGTATTAGCATGTTGACCAGAATTTAAAGTTTTCCATACTATTAACTTTGAATTAATTTATTTACCAAAAAAGCAAAACTAAATTAATTATTAAGCTTTTACCATATATTTTTCTGAGGCAATATAAAGAGGTTTAGGCGTGGAGACTTTGGTTAAGGTGCGGTTGAGTATGGTGCTCTCTTGGGTGTTGTTACATCCTGGTTTGTGTGTTGGGTTCGTGGTAGTAGTTTTCATCATGAACAGGTTGTTCAGATGAGGTTTATGCTCCTCATGAAGAAGTCATCTGCGTTGTTTGCTCTCTTGCTTAGTTTGTTACAAGAAAACCGGCTAGTTTTTTCTGCAATTAGACATTGTTCTTTTATCTTTAATGGTTGTTTTTGGGTTTCTTAAAAGGAGAATAGGTGTTTAGTTTAGTTTCCGAATGTTGGTTTGTCGCCCGTGTGTTTGGGCTCTAAATTCCCGATTTTGGGCTTAATTTCCGGAGATATCTTCATTTTTCGCCGGTTTTTGTATCTCAACCTTGTATTGTTCTCATGTTATCAATGAAAATCAGAATTTCGAGTGAAAAGAAAAACCCTAAGACAGCGAGAAGGAAAGCCTCTTTGGTAGATAATGTAAACGCATCAACAAAATTATATCTTTACATAGTGGCTTGAAGCCATATGAATTTAATGAAGACCTGAAGTTAGAATCAAACAGAAGTTACCCGAATGTTACAAACATCAGTCATTTTCTGGTTTTTTTCTATCAATGGATATAGTTACATGTCAATGAAGTATTTCATTTGTTTTTCACATGAAAATTTGACAGTCAGTTTTAGAGCTGGGACTGGGGAGCGTATGTCATGTGTTACATAACATATTCAAACGATTTTTCTTAACAACAGTTATTTATACTATTCAGTAAAAACATTACAAAAACAATGCATACCATTGACTAAAAGTATTCACAGATTCACAGTTTTTGAAACAAATTGTCTCTAACCAGTATGCAAACCCGCAAACCCATTAAACATACATATGTTTTAGACTTCAATCCGCAGCAGGTCAACCCCTTGATATTAAAGAAACAACTGAAATCACCATGAACGGGTTACTTGGATGCGGATTAGTCCGTCTGATATCGCTCTCCGTTTAGAAAATTTGATTATCTATCTATACTAGTATTTGAGAAGTAAATTTGCTTAGTTGTCAATTTCTCCATAATTTTAGGTAATTTTGATTAGTTGTCAATTTTCTATAATTTTAGCTATTTTTTTTTTGCTTTATTTATCTTGTTTTAATAATTTCATATATAATTTATTCTATAATAAAAACGAATTTATAACAATAATATTATATTTTTACAAAATAAGTTAACTCTATGTATTAGATTGTTATCTTAAAATATATTTTTCTATCATAACATTTAAATAAATTTTCTGATTAGTTTGTAACTTCTCAGAATAAATTTGTTTAGTTTTGTCAATTTCTCCATAATTTTAAATAATTTTGTTTATTTATCATGTTTTAATAATGGGGTTTTTGCAAATTTGACTCAAAACTCCAAGTCAAACACAAAACTAACCTCTTCTTTAGACTCATCTTGTTTTTGTCCTATTCACCCCACATCTTCATTTTATTTACGAAAATGCCATTTAAATGTTTTTTGAATTTTTTTTCGAAAATGGCATTTTTACTCTCTCAACCTCATCATCTTCAAGTATTTACAACATTGTCATTGCCATGAATACTCCCAACAACCTTGTACAACCCAACAACCTTGTACAACCAAGGTTTGAAGCTTTTAATGCACTTAAAATCGATATCCATACTCTCTTTCTCAATTGTTATGAACTAAAAACAACATCTCCTTCACTTTGTCTCCATAT